CTGGGGAGGCTGAGGCAAGAGAATTGCCTAATCCCAGGAGTTGGAGGTTGCTGTGAGCTGTGGCACCACGGCACTCAACCAAGGGCTACCAAAAAAAGAAAGAAAAAAACTAAATGGTATGGCAAACAGGATATCGCCTCATTACAAGATGCCCCCATCCTGATTCCTAGAACTGGGACTCTGAGGTTACGTGGCAAAGGAGCAGTAAGGCTGTGAGCCGACTGGCACCTTGACTTTGGCCCAGTGGAACCTATTTCAGACTTCTGACTTTCAGCACTGGAAGAGAATACATTCGCGTGGATTTGAGCTGCTACATTTGGTAATTTGTTACAGCAGAAGGAAATGAATGAGGGTTAGAAAGCCTCATACATACAGCAATCGCGAGGGTGACAGCATCCAGTTCCAGCTTTCCCAGGTGGCCGCAGAACACAGAGCTTATGAAACTGATCAGGAACACCATCAGCTGGGCCAGGAACTGGGAGGAGAGGGCGACAGGAGGTGAGGTGAGTGCCCACCAGACCATTGCCGTGAGGGATCCAGTGCCCAGGCCCTGCCTGGGTGCAAACCCTCCCCTCAACTCCAATGGGAGGTGAAAAGACCCAGTGTCCAACGAGCCTCAGCCACCATTCCTGGGGGAAGTGGGCCATCCTGGGGGGCTTCATGAGATATCAAAATGTTTATTTGTGACCACTGGGTCAGAATCATGGTTTTGAGAACTTCCCAGACTTTACAGTTTATTTTTTCACTTCAATTTCTCATGCCATACATTGCATTAAATTTCCTCTGAAATTTGCAGAAGCTGCCTTCAGAGAAAACCCCCTTGTTATGTGTAATTGTTGTTTTGAGACAGAGTCCCACTTTGTCATCCTCAGTAGAGTGCTGTGCCGTCACAGGTCACAGCAACCTCCAACTCTTGGGCTTAAGCGATTCTCTTGCCTCAGCCTCTCAAGAAGCTAGGACTATAAGTGCCTACCACAACGCCTGGCTATTTTTTGTTGCAGTTGTCATTGTTGTTTTAGCTGGTCCAGGCTGGGTTCAAACCCACTAACTTTGGTATATTTGGCTGGCTCCACACCCACTGTGCTGTGGGTGCCAAGTCAGATTTTTTTTTTTTTGAGACAGAGTTTCACTTTGTCACCCTGGGTAGAGTACTGTGGAGTCATAGCTCAAGGCAACCTCAAACTCTTGGGCTCAAGTGATCCCCTTACCTCAGCCTCCTGAGTAGCTGGGACTACAGGCACCTGTCACAATGTTCAGCTATTTTTTTTTCTCTTTTTTTTGTAGAAACAGAGTCTCAGTTTATCACCCTCAGTAGAGTGCTGTGGCATCACAGCTCACAGAAAACTCCAACTCCTGGGCTTAGGCAATTCTCTTGCCTCAGTCTCCAGAGTAGCTGGAACTACAGGTGCTTGCCACAATGCCCAACTATTTTTTATTTTTGTTGCAGTTTGGCTGGGGCTGGGCCCGAACCCACCACCCTCGGTATATGGGGCTGGGGCCCTACCCACAAAGCCACAGGTGCCACCCAATGCTCAGCTATTTTTTAGAGGCAAGGTCTCGCTCTTGTTCAGGCTCATCTTGAACTCGTGAGCTCAACCAATCCACCCATCTTGGCCTCCCAGAGTTCTAGGATTACAGGCGTGAACCACCATGCCCAGCCCTGTTACATGTGATTCTTAGCAAGGCCTGGCGAGAACATAGCCTTCCACAGAGAGATGTCACTCCAGCTAGCAAAAAAATGCCACAGGCAGAAATGAACTCACCCCACTGGAAGGTCGGTGAGATCCGAACTCTGTGGTCTGCTGAGCACTTTCCTTTTTTTTTTTTTTTTTTTTTTTGAGACAGAGTCTCACTATGTCACCCTTGGTAGAGTGCTGTGGCATCACAGCTCACAGCAACCTCAAACTCTTGGGCCCAAGTGATTCTCTTGCTTCAGCCTCCCAAGTAGTTGGGACTATAGGCATCCACCACAACGCCCGGCTATTTTTTGGTTGTAGTGTCATTGTTGTTTGGCAGACCCAGGCTGGGTTCAAACCCTCCAGCTCCAGTGTACATGGCTGGTGCCCGAGCCACTGAGCTATAGGCACCGAGCTGTATTTTGCGTTTTTTAATTCTATGAAGCCTCAGATATGTGGGCAAATTCAGCTTCACTGAGTCACTCTTTGTAATTCTAGTGACCAAAATGAATTGCTCCGCGATGTTTTTGCTGCACAATTAAACAATAAACTTTATCTCTTGAGGCTAATTTACTTTTTTTTTTTTTTGGTAGAGACAGAGTCTTACTTTATCACCCTCAGTAGAATGCCATGGCGTCACACTGCTCACAGCAACCTCCAACTCCTGGGCTTAGGCGATTCCCTTGCCTCAGCCTTCCTAGTATCTGGGACCACAGGCTCCTGCCACAACGCCCGGTATTTTTTTGTTGCATTTGGCCAGGGCCAGGTTTGAACCTGCCACCCTTGGTATATGGGGCTGGCGCCCTCTTCAGGTTAATTTAAAACCACTTCCTGCCTCCTACCTGCCAAACCCAGGCAGGCCAGTTTCCCCCTGGGAAAGCCCTCTCCCCTTGGAGCCATATGTGGTCCAAGAGGGGGATTCATTGGACCTCCTTCCCCTAGGAGGAGAGAACAGGTGCCTAAGGATTTGCTGGGGCCACCACTGTCACCCACTGCTGCCCCACAGGGCATGGGACTGGTGATGCTGCCACTGGCCCAGCCCTGATGCCACCTCTGACAGCCGTTCAAGGGCAGTGGACTCTTCTGTGCTGGGCTCAGACAGGGCTCCCTCTTCCTCAGGCTCCAGTGACACGGCTTCCAGTGCTCAGCCCACCTGCCAGGATTGCAGCTTCCCTCAAATTACTGCATCAGGATCTGGCCAAGCCTCTGTGCCAAGATGGTTCCCATGACCTTCCTCTTTTTTTCCCCCGAATCTGTATCTGGGGGGACACAGTTTTTAACTCCTCTGAAGTGCCCGGACCTTCACATGAAAAGCCTGTTCTTCCTAACCTTGGTGTGTGTGTGTGTGGCCGGGTTGGGGTGGAGGCTATTCATGTATTGCAGGGGACACACCTTTCTTTCTTTCTTTCTTTCTTTTTTTTTTTTGGAGACAGAGCCTCAAGCTGTTGCCCTGAGTAGAGTGCCATGGCATCACAGCTCACAACAACCTCCAACTCCTAGGCTCAAGCAATTGTCCTGCCTCTGTCTCCCAAGTAGCTAGGGACTACAGGTGCCCGTCACAATGCCCGGCTAATTTTTGGTTGCAGCCAACGTTGTTGTTTGGCGGGTCCAGGCTGGATTTGAACCCACCAGCTCAGGTATATGTGGCTAGCATCTTAGCTGCTTGAGCCACAGGCGCCGAGCTAACACACCTTTCTTGCATCAACCCCCAAACTGTGACCCAAGTACTTCTCCCACAACACAGAAACCAAGTATGAAGTGGAACTTGATGTTTCTTTAAATTGTACCTTCAATGTCCCTTTAACAGCCATGGGATCCTTTTTATCCGTAAACTCAGCGTCACTTCTAAATACTTTCAGATCACTGTCCTGTAACCATCGTGTTCACCGCCTATTTCTCCTTTCCCGTGGACCATCATGTTCCCCCGTCAGAGGGCCCTGTCTCCTCCCTCACAGCTTCATGTGAAAACATAGGGGAAATTCTTTGGAAAATTTCCCATATTTTACTATCACAAATCACACTGCCCTGAACCTCTTTTTCACCTGGGTGAGGGATGGTCATTTTCTTAGGGTGAGTGCCCAGGCAGAGGGTGGGAATAGTTAGATGTCTCAGATAAAAAAGGCCAGGAAGTCAATGTGAGTTAAACTAACCCATCAGAGAGTCACCTTCCGAGTCAGTGCCAGCAAAAACAGCTTCTTTGTGAGGACTGCTGCAGCTTTGCAGGGTTATAGCAATAACCCTGAGCTCCAACTGTCCAAGTTGGGCAGCCAAACGCAGCCAGTCCTGGCCGAGCCTCAGTCTCAAGAAGACCAAGCCCTGGAGGTCAGATTTGCTAAATTCTTCTTGGTTCTAGGTTTTGAGCCCTTTGGGTTTGAACTCTTGGGCCATAGACTGTGGTTTATGTACGTAAGTGTCACCTGGGGAGGTTGTTCAGAATGCCTATGCCCTGGCCCATCTCACAAGGCCACAGGGCTGAGGAACGTACATTTCAGCACCACCCCCTCCACCCCATACATACCCAGTAAGATGCAGGTGGTTGAAGACCACACTTTGAGAATGTTCTGGGCAGACACAGTGGCTCATGCCTATAATCCCAGCACTGTGGGAAGCTGAGGCAGGTGGATTGCTAGAGCTCAGGAGTTCAAGACTAGCCTGAGCAAGAATGAGACCCCATCTCTACTAAAAATAAAAAAACTAACCTGCTAATCATAGCAGGCACCTGTAATCCTAGCTACTAGGGAGGCTGAGGCAAGAGGATCACTTGAGCCCAGGAGACTAAGGTTGCTGTGAGCTATGATAACACCACAGAGGATACTGCTGCACTCAGGGAACTAAACAATCCTGGAAAAAGCCATGTTCCCCTAGATTTTTTTTTTTTTTTGAGACAGAGACTCAAGCTGTCACCCTGAGTAGAGTGCTGTGGCGTCACAGCTCACAGCAACCTCAAACTTTTGGGCTCAGGTGATTCTCTTGCCTCCACCTCCGGAGTAGCTGGGACTACAGGCACCCACCGCAATGCCCAGCTATTTTTTTTTTTTTAATTTTAGTTGTCATTGTTTACCAGGCCCAGGCTGGGTTCGAATCCACCAGCCCCTGTATATGTGTCTGGCGCCCTAACCACTGAGCTACCAGCACCAAGCCATCCCCTATATGTCTCAATGGCTACTGTCTGGACAACAACAGCTTGAATTAGGAGTGGCTTGGACACAGCCAGACAGAAATTCCTAGACTGACTGGTTTTGTCCCTTTTTCTTGTCACAGACCCTGGTCAGGTTTTGGCAGTAATAAAAAACTTGGTAGATAGACTTTTAGGCTGGGCACCATTGCTCACGCCTGTAATCCTAGCACTGTGGGAGGCTGAGGCAGGTGGATTGCCAGAGCTCACAGGTTCAAGACCAGCCTGAGCAAGAGCAAGACCCCGTCTCTAAAAACAGCTGGGCATTGCAGCAGGCACCTGTAACCCCAGTTACTTGGGAGGCTGAAGCAAGAGGATGGCTTGAACCCAAGAGTTTGAGGTTGCTGTGAGCTATGATGCCACTGCACTCTACTGAGGGTGACAAAGTGAGATGTGAGATTGTTTAAAAAAAAAACAGACTCTCACCACCTCCCAGCTGTAGTGGCATGCTCCAGGGCCAGATGCCTTCAGAAGGGGCCTAATTTTTTTTGGCCCGGGGCTGGGTTTGAACTCACCACTTCTGGTATATGGGGCTGGCGCCCTACCCCTTTGAGCCACAGGCACCACCCAAGAAGGGGCCTTTCTTATCTGCCCTTCTCCCTGCCCTGGATGCCTGAAAGAAGCTCACCACGGGAAGGAACCAGAGGGGGCATGTGGGACAGGCTATTCTACACATGAGGAAGCACAGGTTACAAAGCTTAGCAACCAGGCCAGTCACCTGACTCTTGGCTCAGATGGTCAGGTAGGGCCAACATCTTTGGAGCACAAAGTACATCCACACTGGGAGTACAGATGTGAGTTAGACAAACACCATCACCCCATTTCTACCCCCAGGGAATCCACAGTGCAGACAGTTTCCACCTTATGGTGGTGCAAAAGTGATGTGCATTTCTCAGACACTACACTTTGAATTTCAAATTTTGGGTCTCTTCCCAGCCATTTGCAGTCTCAGACTCTCTCACAGTGCTTGGCAGGGGCAGTAGCCACAGCCCCAGGTCAGCGTCGAGATGGCACAGTGAGCCCCCAGAACTCTGCAGTGCACTGTGCGGTGGCATTTGAGGGGAATATGTTTTGTGTTTTCACTGTCCTTTCGGGTCTATAGGGCGCCCGTCTGTGTTTCCTGCTTCTGGTGAGAGGAAGAAGGCAATTACTCTCAAGGTGAAGGTCAGGACAATTGCCCGTCCATGAGAGTTCATGGAAGATGGCTCCAGCGCACGGAGAACTTCCCAGGCCAGCACCCACTACGCCAGACCCACTGACTGAGCGCCCTTGTTGTTGTGTGGGGTGGCGATGTCCACACAGTGCAGAGGAGGATCTGTGTGACACACCGCAGTGGTAGGCGGGGGACGTAAGATGCCTCTGTGAGAGGCTCCTGGAACACTGCCTGTGCCTGGTTAGTGACCCTTCTGGTAGCAAAGCAGCCAGCCAGAGGACTGGCTCCAAGGGCAGCTGCAAGCTTCAGCACAGCTCGCTGGCCAGTATTCCCGGAGGATGTGACACTGTCACCAGCAGGGTTTTCAATGGGAACGATGGCACGACCTGCCTGCAGAATTTCTCCCAGGACCTCCTTGGGTTTCTGACACAGGCACCATCACTTTTCCTTTTGTAGACATGCTGCTCCATTTGGAAGTCAAGGATGGTACCACCTAAGTGGGTTCCTGCTGCAAGGACTTTGAGGACATCCTCCTCCTTCACTGGTAGGACATCTAGGGCTCCAGACAGTGTGAAAGTTTCCCTTTGAGTTATGGTGGAATCCAGAACAATGCTGTGTGGACCCTTTCTGGGGAGTGCAGAAGCATTTAGGTGCATCTTTGACTTAATAATATTTTTATCTCTGAGCAGGGAAGATGTTCATGATGCAATAAATAACATGGCTCACCCATGAGAGCACAGTGGAGGGGTCGCAGACAGTGCCTGGGGGAAATGAAGCTGGGTAGAAACCTGAGATGAACAGGTCAGGGACGAACAGGCAGGTGAAGGTGGCCTGTCTGTCAGGAGGACATTCCGGGCAGAGGGAAGGGGTGTAGCAGGAGGCACTGAGATGCAGCTAATGGAGGCCACAGGTCAGGAAATAGCAGAACAGCATGAGGGTGGAGGGCTGGGCCAGGACACAGGGGGGCCTAATGGGGCCAGGGAAAGGGTTTTGAGCAGGAGGTGACACGCTCCATGTGCAGCAGTCCGGGCAGCATGGATTTTAAGGATGGAGATGCCAAAAAGCTGATCCCTCTGGGAGATATTTAGGGCACTAAAACGAAAGGTCTTAGTGAGAAAGGGATCGGAAGAGGAGCTTCCTCTGCCCAGCTGCCACCACCCAGGGACACGTCCTACCTCCCAGAGGAACCGGCCTGTACTTGGTCTCCCTCACCTTAGGCCTAGGCTACCTCTGGCCTCTACCTAGCTTCCTGCTGAAGCTGATGTCACTAACCATGCGGATAAATATTTGCACCACTGCCCGCAGGACACAGATCAATGGTCAGTCTGCGTGTTTTCCTTTGTGCGTCCCGGGTCATTCTAGTCTCTCCAGACACCTTCCCCACCCCCCCGCCCCTGCTGCACTCCCTGATCTTTATTCCTTACAGCCCCAGAAGCTCCTTAAGCTCCTTCCCTGGTGTTTCTCCCCTGTGTAGATGGAAACAAGCTCCCTGAGTTATGTCCCAGACAACGCCACGTACAGCCCATGACCCCTTAAAGTGAGAATCCATCCCTGGGGTTATTTTTTAGGATTCTTGCCACTTTTGCCAGGTGATGAGATTTTTTTAAATAAAAATATTTATTTTTTAATTCTCAATTTTAACGTCCAATACAGTAAATATCAATATAATTGACATGAACAAATACTTTTCAGCATGAGACTTAATAGAGTCTTTTTTGTTTTTTTGAGACGGAGTCTCATTGTGTCACCTTTAGTAGAGTGCAGTAGCGTCACAACTCACAGCAACCTCAAACTTTTGGGCTTAAGTGATTCTACTGCCTCAGCCTCCCAGAGGAACTGTCTGGACTACAGGCACCTGCCACAACTCCCAGCTATTTTTAGGAACAGGGTCTCACTCTGACTCAGGCTAGTCTTGAACCTGTGAGCTCAGACAGTCCACCCACTTGGCCTCCCAGAGTGCTGGAATTACAGGCGTGAGCCACCACACCCAGCCCAAAACAGTCTTAAAAATATTTATTTTGGATTACAACGAGGTTACATTGCTTGCATTTGTAAAGTAAGGTCTGAGTTGTAGTTGTGACCTTCACCTAGAAAGTGTGCTATTTACCCCAGCATTGTTCCCATCAGGGGGCAGCTTACTAAACCCTCTCTTTCCCTCTTGAATCTAATTGAGTTTTTCCTCTCAGGTGAGTGTGCTATTGTTAATCTACAAGGTTCAATTTAGTACTAAGTACATGGGGTGCTTGACTTCCCATTCTTGTGATGGGATGAGAAAACATGTCTGGAAGGCACAAGGCTGGGTATTTGTTCTTCCCTAAAGCTTCCTGCAGGATCAGAAAGGGAATACTGTTCACCTCATACCTTCCTCTGTGATGGACTGTTCTCTCTATAAAGGCCTCATTTAAAGCCTACTGGGAGAGAATCACCCCTCAAAGGTTAGGGAAGCACAAGAGGCCTGAAAAGAGGGCCGGGCACAGTGGCTTCTGCCTGTAATCCTGGCACTCTGGGAGGCCAAGGCAGGTGGATTGCCTGGGCTCACAGGTTTGAGGCCGGCTTGAGCCAGCGCGAGACCCCCATCTCTAAAACTAGCTGGGTGTTGGCTTGGCACTTGTGCTCAGTGGTTAGGGAGCCAGCCATATGCACTAGGGCTGGTGGGTTCAAACCTAGCCTGGGTCTGCTAAACAACAATGACAACAGTAACAAAAAAATAGCTGGGTATTGTGGCAGGTGCCTGTAGTCCCAGCTACTCGGGAGGCTGAGGCAAGAGAATCACTTAAGCTCAAGAGTTTGAGGTTGCTGTGAGCTGTGACGCCACAGCACTTTACTGAGGGTGACATAGTGAGACTCTG